CCAGGCCAGGTGTGGCACAGCCCCTCCTCCCCTACATCCTCTTCCTCAGTTTGCCCTTCTTGGTGCCCGTGCGGCGCCCGAAGGCCATTTGCCGCAGCTCCTGCACGCGCTGCCGGTTCCTGGCCTTGAGGCGCTTCAGCCCTCCACTCTGCAGGAACCGCTGCTTCGCCGCCTTCTTGCGCTGCTTCAGGATCTGCTGCTTGTTCTTCAGCTCCGAGCGCACCTTGCCCTGGGCTGGGGGCTGTGTGGGCCCTGTGGAGGGACAGGGCTGTGCTCAGGGCAGGGAACAGAGCCAGGGGCTACAGGCTCTGCTGCTTGCTCTGGGTACTCACCGTGCCTGTGCTTGTGCTTCCCTCTGAACTGCTCCCTGCTGCGTTCCCCGTCCTCATCCTCATCCCGCTCATCAACCTTGTACTTCTGCTTCCACTTCTCATAGCTGGGACAGGCAGGTTAAGGGAATGTGCAGTGATTCCTCCTTGCTTGACCTGCTGTGGTGTCTACTAGCCTACCTGCCCTGGCTGCTGCCCTGGCAGGGAATGGATCCCAGCCATCACCACGTGGCCGCCTGTAGGTCCAGCCTGCTCCCCCCTCACCCAGGCAGGATACAGGTTGTTCTTGTAGGAGCTGCTGATGTAGCGTCCACTCTCTGTCCGCACCTTCTTCTTGTCCTCCTGGCCTGTCTGCCCCACGAACCGTTCGTGCGGTCCGTGTGAAAGGGGAGGGTGGTGGGACCTCCAGACCCAATTCCCACCCCAGCCCGTAGACAGACCCCACTCACCACTTGAGCAGCTGCTTGCTCTTGTTGAGGTTGTGGTTCTCATCGCCCATGAGATCCAGGACGGCCCCAGCTGCCTGCTGCTCAAAGGCACTGCCCTCGCCGCCCACGCTCAGCCTGCAAAGGGGGGGATGAGAGCAGCCCTCATACAGGCTGGGATGGGATGGCAGCAGGAGACCCCCCCAGACTCACCCCCGCTCGCTCTCAAAGTCCTTGGGTCGGTATGGGATGTAGAAGTCCTCGTCCTGCTGCACCTGCTGCTGCGGCTTTTTCCTGGGACCATCTTCTCCCCCTCGGCCTCGTTTCCGCTTCTGGCCCCCCACATTGGAGAACACATCCTGGACAGGGACAGCGGTGGAGTTGGGGGAACCACATTCCCCCCCACCAGCCTTCCATGTCTGTGCACAGCCTTGGGGACCCAGTGCTGCTTTGCATCAGCTCCTGCATCCGTGACCCCATTACCTGGAGGTCTTCTGGCTCTCCTTCTCCTTCCCCCTCCTGGGGCCCAGAGGGGGCTGGGAACACTCCCTGCCCTTTGAGTGCTGCCACGCGCTTCTCCTGCTGCCCACGCTGGAACTTCTCGATCAGGGCATGGTCATGGCGCCGCTTTGACCTCATCACGGTGCTGGCTAATGTCCGGGACGTGGAGTTGATCTCGAAGATGGTCTGTCCCCAAGGAGGGAGCATGATTCCCAATGAGTCACATGGACTTTCCCTCCCACCCCAACCCAGGGGTGTCAACTCACTGCCTTGGATTTGTAGGTCTTAATGCTGTCCACAAACTTCAGCCTCTCCAGCTCGGTGTCTTCGAAGCGAGCGCCTGGGGAAGGCAGGCATGGAGAGGGGCACAGATCAGCTCCCTGGCGAGGGGAGTGAGGTCCCCTCCCTGACAACACCCTCTGCACTCACTGAAGAGTGGGTGCATGCCCAGCTGGGACACGTCCAGGTCCTTGGCCCTCTTGATGGACTCGGGTGATGGGCCGGGCCGGGAGCGCAGGTACTGCTTCTGGGCGTTGTCGGCGACGCGGCGCAGGCTGCGCAGCTCCAGGGAGCCCTCGTGGTCCGTTAGCAGCAGGCACTCCTCATCATCCACCAGGCTCTGGGGGACACGACCCAGCACCCCACCAGCATCTGCAGCCCAGGGGACACTGTGTCACCTCCCAGTACCCACCCTGGATTTACTGGAGCCCCAGGGAGCTCAGCAGCGTTCGGTCACCATCCCTGACACAAAGCCCCCAACATCCCACTTTCCCCATCACCCCACAAGACCACAAACTCCAGCACTGGCCAAGGGTAACCCTCGTGGCCACCTTGCTGCCTGCCTCACCAGCAGGCATTTCCTGGGCTCCAGCGAGGATGAGTGGGTGGCCCAGGAAGAGGTGGAGGTCAAAGACATAAGGCATCTCATCAGGAGCCACCAGTGAGTAGGCGGTGCCACTTCGGCCAGCTCGGGCCACGCGACCTGGCAAGGGGAGGAGGAGAGTGGGAAACCACACCCTGTGCCAGCCCAACCTGTCCCCACCCAGGCAGGAACCCAGTGGTGTCCCTGGGAGCCCACACATGTGACATTTACCATGGGGGTATGGCTGGCAAGGGGCTGTGGGTGACTAGGGAAGGAGTAAAGGGGAGCCCACCATGGTGCCATCCTAAGGGAAGGCACCACCCCTGCCCCTAGAAGCCTCCACAGTCCAGCTGGGACATCAGGGACACTGCTGACACTGCTTTGTCCCCAGCCTGTTGCCTGATGCCATGACAGTGACCTCCTGCCCTAAAGATACCACCACCAAGCCAGGGGCACCAGTGCCAGCCCAGGGGGCCACATGGATTGGGAAAACAGGGGACAAGGGACAACCCACTCACACCCTCTCTGTCACCCTGAGGGGCCTCCAGGCTGCCAAGACCCCTGTGCAGGTCACCAGCACCCACCAACACGATGCAGGAACAGCTTGGACTTGGCAGGAAAGCTGAAGTTGATGACATTGTCCAGCATGGGGATGTCAAGCCCACGGGCAGCCACATCAGTAACCAGCAGCACTGGGCACTTGCCCTGGGAGAACTTGGCGATGTTGATCTTGCGAGCAGTCTGGTCCAGAGAGCTGTAGATGTGGGTGCAGCGGATGCCTTGTGCTGTCAGCAGCTGGGGAGGGGGGAAAGAGATCAGATCCCACCTGGGCATGCACCCTCAGCCAAGAGACAGGGCTGGAGACCCCAGGGTGCTCCCCCCTCTCCAAGGGGCAGGTGGATGCAGCACCTCCACAATCACACATGCTGGGATTTCTCTTTC